AAAGTAGCTTTAGCGCCAGATGGTAAATTTGAAATTTTGCCCTTGTCTGAACAAAAAAAAAAAAGTAACGAGGTAGTGCTGCTCTGGTAGTACCATAAACTGAAGGTGGACAAAGGCGTTTCTTTACTCAGAAATGAAGCTCTGGCTTAAGAAAAGAAAATAATTTTTTTTTTCAAAAATTGCATATGCACTGTTTTGGTACAGTTAGTGTGTTTTTGGAAACTCAATAAAAAGTAACTTGGTAACTGATGGAACATGCCTTAAGTTAGATTTATTGAGCAGTGTATACATGCTGCACGTAGTGAAACTACACACAGTAGGTGAATAAGCACAATGGAAGTGCTGCCTGGAGTGGCTGAGGTCAAAGATAATATAAATGTAAAAATATCAAAGTTGCCTGCAAAGTATTGAACAACAAACATGGGAATTGAGATGTCTCACAAGACCATTGTGCCAGTATTTTCATTTTTTTCAGTCACATGTCTAATGCATATAAGTAAAATTATATATTATGTCTTATGTATTATATTGGTCTATGTTGTTCAACTATTAATTCACTAGTTTGACTATTAACTCATTTGTCCAGTACCCTGACTGGTTAGGTTCTGCTTACACTGGGTAATACATTGGATGATGGTGTATTTTGTTGTATATATTTGGAAGATAAAAAGTTAGGGGATTGAGTTTATTTTGTGTTAATCTGAATTTCATGTTTAGCTATTAGATCATTGAAAATTCCTGTCTTTAATGTTACAGATTAAAATGTTGGAATATCGAGAGAAGAGGTTGCAAATGGAACCATTACAATTCAATAGTACTTATTCATCAAATGAGGAATTAAATTCTCTGGAATTTAGAAAGGTTGCTTGCAAAGGATATTTTGATGATAGAAAATCAATCTATGTTGGACCACGTTCAAGAAGTATTTCAGGAGTTACGGAAAATGGCCACTTCATTATAACACCTCTTATGCCAGTTCCCAATTGTCCTGACAGGTAAAACAAACATTAATGGCTTTGTTAATGAACGTAATCCATTAATTCACTCAACTTTTAATGTCGTGCAGTACCTATGTTGCTTACTATTATGTATTAGAGCTTAAGTTTCATCAAATGTTAGTGTGAAGCTCTACACATTACAACACTAAAGTCGAAGCTATTGCATCTTTGATTAGAGTAAATAATGTGTCCATTTTCTATTAGTATTTTACATAGGTGGAACTACATGGTTCACTTGTTCTGTAAAACCATCTACAGATACAATGGAGTGAAAGTTTGCCTAATCATTATGTACTATTTTTAACACCAGTTGACCAAAGGATGAATTTTCTGTAAAACTGATTGCAGTTAGTTGATGTTGAAAGTATTGATCATTGTATTCAACAGTACTACATAATGAGAGTGTTTGGCTACCTTTAGTTAAGGGATCCATTTTAGAAGATAAAGTGCAGTTATTAGAAAATTGACCTTTAATATAGCTTGTTATACGATTGTGTGTCTGTGTGTGTTTGCTTTGTTATAATTTCAACAATAGATTTTCTAATTAATAGCTGTATTTGAACTTTTTTCTAAAGTGCACCCCTCTACTTTAGAGGAACTAATTTCTTATTTGAAAATGGATATTTCTTATACTATGTACTGTTGGCTAATTTCTGCTTAGAGTATATTTTATTATTTTGGTTCAAAATCTCCTGTGTATTGTATGAACTTTAAGATTTTACTTTTGGTGAAATATTGTTAATTTGTTGTGGCCCATTATGAATGTTTCATGTCATTCACATCTGTTTTCATCAATATAATTATCCACGGATGCAATGTGTTTAGTGTGACTGGCTAAACATCGTTGAGCTTTTGAGAGCTTAGAAGATCTTTCATTTATTTGCATCACTTCATAAACTTTAACTCCAATCTTTTCTGTGTTAAATGTCATCACATTTTCAAGTCAGCTATTTCTTTTTCTTGTTCATAAGCAATCTATTCCAGGTTTTGAATACTTCTCTGCCACTGGTGTAATGAATAAATGACATTAGTTGTTCATGGTTTCTTCTGTTCTTATATTGTGTTTTTCTTCTTCCAGTGTGAGTTTTCCAATTTTAGTCAATAGAGGGTGGGTTCCACGCAGTTGGAAAGACAAATTTTTAGAGGCTTCTCAAGATGAAAATTTGGCCGATTCGTTGCCTTCCTCTTCTCACACAGATGGAACTACATCCTGGTGGAGACTGTGGTCTAAAAAGCCTCCTGTTATCCCTGAGGTTGCCTCTCCCCTAAGTCATTTCTTTATTTAATGTGGAAGAATTATGGATTCAAACTTATCACGTGGAACCACTTACAGGATCAGGTCCCGTCTGTTACTCCTATAGAAGTTGTTGGCGTAGTTCGAGGAAGTGAGAAGCCCAGTATATTTGTTCCTGCAAATGATCCTAAATCTTCCCAATGGTTTTATGTTGATGTTCCTGCCATTGCTCGTACTTGTGGCCTTCCAGAAAATACTATCTATGTTGAAGATATTAATGAAAATGTCAATCCAAGTAATCCTTACCCTCTGCCCAAGGATGTGAATACTTTGATTCGAAGTTCTGTTATGCCTAGGGACCACCTAAACTACACATTGACATGGTATGCAACTTAATCTCCAATCCTCATGCGAATATCAATGTAATTTTGGTGGTGGCGCCTGTCAATAAGTGATTATTTTTATTGATTGATAGCGTCAAGTTTTTATATTGATAATGGGTAGAAATTAAACTTGTAAATGGTTATTTTTTATTGGTTGGCAGTGTCAAATTATATTGATAATGTTTGGAAAGTAAACTTTTTGTATAAAGTAAATAGTGTATGCATTAAGGGTGTAAAGATTCTTACATTCTCGTTGAACTGTATAAGTCATCATGTTATGTAAAGTAAGTTTGTTGAGTTGAAGCTTTATTGATTGGTTAATAGTGTAAAACTCTCATAGAAATTAAACTCTTGTGTATAATTGATTGGCAAGGTTATAGGTTTTGCTTTAATAATTAGTTGACTCTGAATGATACTGCTAATAGAGTAATATTATATGATTGAAAATCTATTAAAACAAGCAAGTTTCTGTTGAATCCTGTTTGTAATGATGATGTTGAATAATCTTTCTAACAACTTTTATTTTGTATTTGGGTCAGGTATTCTCTTTCTGCAGCAGTTACATTTATGGCTTTTAAGAGGCTTAAACAGAAAAGTAAACGGAGATAGCAAAGTCATTTTTCTGTTGCATGTGATAGTAGAGATATACACACACAGATACTCTCCATTTGACATCTTGACACATCTATATCCTTGAACAATGTCTTACCAAACTTCTCTTCAATTGTCAATTTTCATTCAAGTAAAGTCCTCCCTGAAAGTTATCCTCATCTCAAAAACAGTGATGAAATGAAACTGAGGTGATACTTTTAGCAAGAAAACCATGTCAAGAATTTTGGTGCCACTGAGATGAAGTTGCGGATATTCATTTTCTAGGTCATTTTTTTGTTGTTGGAAAAGCAAGTGGTTGTAAGAGGATATCATATGAATATGTTTGGACTGTAAGGTTAGGGAGTTGTGAGTGCAAAGCAATTTTACTGACACAAATGTTGTACTAATTGGCTTAGTGTTAAAGTTAAAAAAAAGGGTGAGAGATATTATGGGTATAAGTTCTGCTATTAATAAAATACAATACTAACAATTAATGTCGATAGAAAAAATTCATTCATTGATTGATTTTTATTTTATTTTTTATGAAATGAAATTCATGAATTCTGTTCCAATAGTGATAATTTCTTTCAAAAGGTTTAAAACTGACTCCTTTGAAATATATAATAAAATAGATAATTACAAAAGAAATCACAAATTTAAGCTTAATCAGTGAAATTCAATGTCAATGCACAATTATATTATTTTTTTGTTTAATTTGTTATCACTTTATTTCAGGTTTTCTTCTCCACTTTTCATGTTTTCTATTAACCAAAACATTTCCTATAATAATATTCTTTTATGAACACATTTAAGATAAGGGTACGCAAATAGATTATAAAATTTAAAAATATTCTTCTTTAATTTTTATTCAAAGAGTAACTTGATACTGTTCATATAAAGGTTTAATATCCTATTTTGTCTCCAGTTTCGTTCGAAAATGTCAAATTAGTCCATCCTTTAAAAAATGCGTCAATTACGTCCTCACTTAATAAAATTTGAATCAATGAAATCCATTCCGTTAAATCCGTACAAACGATGTTACTTAATAAGAGAGAAAAATAATTAACGCTGTTTGTACGGATTTAACGATAGGGATTTCATTGATGCAAATTTTATTAAGTGAGGACGTAATTGACACATTTTTTAAAGGATGGACTAATTTGACTTTTTCGAACGAAACTGGGGACAAAATAAGATATTAAACCTTGATATAAATTAGCTTTAAAAGTATATCCCAAGAAAAATGTTTTTTTTTTTAAAAATGAACCAGACATATTTCAGTAATTTTTTTTTGTTTTACTTAATAATGAATACAAAAATAGTATATTATTCAACTTTATATGCATACAAAGAAATCAAAATGAAGGTGGGAGGACATTTAAAATGCAAGGATTACATGATTTTACTTTGAAATCTTAATTAAAATAGATTTTACCATGTAACTTTTTTTTAAGATTATTTTGTAAGTTTTGCTTTAATAAGGAAGCCTTATATAATAACTAAAGTTTATAACCTTGTATTTTTATAAAAATTCAATTACATGATTAATTTTTTTTTTGTTAAAAGAAATCACTTGAACAAAAGCAAGAATCAAATACATTTCGATCTAGTTTACTATAAAATCCAAATGGTCATTGTTTTATATTTCCTTTTAATTTATTTTTTCAGTTTCTATTAGTATAAAACTATTAAACATTTTGCTTCCAAATAATTAATAAATACTTTATAACAAAAAATATACTAAATATTTTTAGTATAATTATCAGTACATTGATAAATATTATCTACATGTCTAAATGAGCATCAAACAATGTGAATCACTTGACTTTGTGACCATCCATGGCTTCACTCACGTGTCTCCACCCAACTCACCCTCTTCTTCTTCATCTCGGTTCAGCTCTTCCCGCCATTTCCAACCGCTGCTTCAACTATTCCTCCTCACTGAACCGGACCCTCTCTGCAAAATCTCCTCGAACAGCTCCTCCACGCGCCATGACCAAGCCTAGTTTCTCACCAGCTGAAGACCAAGTTGCTTCTCGTAAGTTCTACAGTCCACTGATTCAACCCTATCTCTTTTTTTTTTTCTCAAGCCTTAGTCTCTCTGTATGATTTTGAAGCTGGTGATTTTGAATTTGTGCCACCCCTGAGAATTGTGGAGTATCCAGACCCGAAATTGAGGGTAAAAAATAAGCGCATAGTTACATTCGATGATAATCTGAAGAAACTTGTCCACGAAATGTTTGATGTTATGTACAAGTAAGATTTTTTAATGTTGAAGTGGTTTATATTTTTGCTTCAGCTGAGTAGAATTATGGTGGGCTACTGCTACGTTCTGTTTTTCTTTTCGTTTTAATTGAATTATTTAAAATGTGGCATCAGTTGGGTTTGAGCTCGAACCCAAGGCTTTACCTCTGTTCATTTTCTTGGTTCTAACCCCCAGAGCGATATGACATTTGTGGAATGTTCGGGTTTTAGTGCATTTCAGTGTTTGCTCTAATTTGGAAGGAAAGCTTGTATTTTTTTTAAAGCACGGTTGTGAAGATTGATTTTCAAATTATATAGGCTACTTTTCCTCTCTTTTTTTAATACTAGACAAAAAGAAAATTTACTCAACAAACCCTGACAATATTTTTCTCAACGGATGTTTCCTTACAATATAAGAGTGTTCTTTATTGTAAGCAATATCAACCATAATAGAAATTTGAGGGCAGTTTGCTGTTTCAAACACTGTATTTTGTTTAGAACTTTTATCTAAAATACCCCTACTGTAAGAGAAGGCAGTTTAAATTGGAACTAAGCATGCAATATATTTTAAATTATGTTGAATATGAATAAGCT